ATATTTTCATTGCAACCGGCTCAGACATGCGAGGTTGTTAATTGTTTGGATTTTTACAGGATCACAAAAGCGATTTTTTGCGAATATTTTCATTTGGTACTTTTGTCGCCGTAGGCTACCAGTTGACGGGCATTTTCATTTGGTTGTTTTCGGTGCAGCTTGGTGCTGCCATGATGGAGGCGGTTTGATGGGGGCTGGGGGGAGGGAGTATGAAAAGGATGAAACAGTTAGCTTCATCAATCAAAATCAAATGAGTAAAACACAATCTTACTTAATAGACTTGAGTACTACAGTTGGGGCTGTATGTGAGCACAAAGTTCGAGAGTTGCGAAAACAAGAAAAAGGCTATATATATTAAGGTAACTCCAGTGGAGTTACAAACTCAAGTTGCTTTAGCAGAGTAATATAGACAGTATGGAGTTAGGTCATAGCTTGGTGTCTAGACATTCTTTGGTCTAATACTGGAGTTAAAGTAACAATGTTGAGTTTTGGGCTGCTAGGTGGTTGGGATGCTGGGTGTGCTCAGTTGCATTCCTTTCTGCCTTCACTTGTAGGTGGATATTTAAGGCGTGCGTGACTATGCACGGAAAATGTGATGTTGAAGAGGGAGAATTGAACAGGTAAGTAGGCAAAGAAATTAACGCCTATTCACTGCTAAGTCAAGACTTGTTCAGTGCATCCAGTCTTATAGGAGATGCTAAAGCCAGGGTAATTAGAAAAGTGTGCATGTGTTAACCGATTTTTGGCGTAGAGGTAGAGAGGAAAGGCACCACAACTAAGACAGAGTATATGGTCAAAGGAATAAGTTAATGGGAACTATCGGTAAGACAGTAGGAAGATAGAGATGAAGTACCTAGGAACCAAGAGCACAACAGCTTCAGTGCAGGATGAAGTAGGGTCAGAAAAAAGAAATGAAGTAATACGGTCATCCGTAAGACGATCTTCCGGGGACCTGCTTCCATGTGGAGTAGTCCATCGAGACGTTTCATCTGCACCTCCATGCCCCCATCTAGTTATGTGTCGGTGTGGTTTAAAAACAGGCTGGCCACTACCGATTCTTCTCAGCCTTTGAGCTATTGTTAATCTTTGATGAGCTAGTTATACAAGCCAGTTAGCCCTTTCGTCGTTCGTCGCTTTTGCATACATAATGACCTTGGTCACTGGTTGACGTCATATGCCATTAAGTGCGAGTTCATCAGTTCAGATTGGACTTTTTTCAATTTCTGCACACTTTGTAATCGGCGGTGGGTCTTTTAACGTGGGTATACATGTTGCTTAGAAGCTTCAAAACATAAACTCAGGATATCGGCTCACTCATGACCGATAACATGACAGGAGAAAAAGATGAGATAGTTAAATTAGGGGATGGAAATATCAATGAAATAGATAGACCAATAGCATGTCTCTCAACATTGTAGGATGCTCTATGGCTTGGTGTGATAAAATATTGCAAAGTTTAGAATAACAGAGAGTTATAAATAGCTTGACTTCTCCTTTCACTACGTACTAGGTGATGCGAATGATCCGGATGCCATAGCCCAGTAGCACTTTTAAAACATGTCGGAGAGATAAAGCAAGAAATACCTTATTTTTGTTTCTCCACCTACAAGTGGGACTTTAAGGGTGGCATTTTCGAGCATAAAATTAAGGTATGATGGAGTGTGGTGAACCCGTGTCATAGGTCATATATTGTTTGGACCTGATGAAATTGACATATCTATAGACACTTGAAGGCCGAGTGTTTTCATTCTGTTTTGCATGGTGAGAAAAGCTCCCGTTCAGTTTAAATTTGGTTAGGTTCTCACTTGCTCCTACTTTCAATTGTAGCTTGTTCCATATGTGAACATAGTTTACTAGGAAAAGTTGGAGCGGATCTTTCAGTTCCCCTCCATTACGGGTAGTGAGTAACCCCTATTTCTTGTGGGATAAGTTGAGGAATTTTGCAAGTTAACATCTATTCCGGTCGTGTACACCCGGCAATGCATAATGTTTTAAAATGGAACAGATAATTTCTCAGGCGGCGCAGCCATAGAGCGCCTAGTTTAAGGCATCGACAGCGGTCTTCATAGTTCAGAAAGGTGGACCGGCCAAAAAGGATGATCGTGAAAGAACGCTGCATCTTTTCTAAAGCATTTCGATGCGTTCTACGCAAGTGGCTATGGATAATTGTGCAGTCTCCAGCATAAGTCTCACCATAAGCTTAAATAGTTTCAGTCGCTTTTCAGGTAGAACAAAGGATTTAATGATATAGGCTTTCAATTACCTCTCCTTTGCTAGCTGATATGAGACATATTCGGAAAAGTTCAGTGAAGTAGGTTGGAATGTTTGTATCTGCTTGGATGGTGGAGCCATCCGGTATACAGCATCCATACCCAGGCATTTACGATTATTCAGCGGCGAATTTAATGGGGCTATTTTTACTCCAAGTGTCCTAAACCGCAAAGTCCTCATGTATGTTCTTAAGGCTAGACTCAATGCTATCGCGTGAAAATGAGTAGATGAGTTAAATATCGTCCGCAAAGAGGTATGATCGTCAATGTTTGATGGAATCACATATGGTATTTATATGCATTAGGAAGAGTAGTGGTCTAAAAACACTGCCTTGGACAACTCCGCTTGTAACTTCTCTTTAGGAGAAGCGTTTCTGGGTTATTTTGACCCTCCGTGTCCGATAGTATAGGTAGGGTCTTAACCAGCTCAGCAATTTTGCTTACTCCGAAAGAATGCAGATCGGACAACAAAGGTTTATATAGCACACGATCGAAAGCCTTTTGCTTGTTTAGTAGCATGGCAATAGTTGCCATGCCACTGTCAGCAACTGATGATACGTGGTTGAAGTATTTTATTTGACAGGTTCCACAGAATCGCTACGTAAGGAGGCCGTGTTGTGCGTTGTTTTTGAGGTAAAATATTGAGAAGAATTGAATAAGACAATTCTTGACAATCCGCCCCAGTGCCTTTGTGGCTACCCCAAAATGGTAAACGGGGCGATAATTTGTCAGTGTAGATCGGGTGCCACCTTTGTGTTGTGGTGCTATTACCGAGTTTTTCCACTGTGGATGGAAATATCCACTGTTAAGGTTAATGTGCAGAAATTAAACATCAGCAGAGGAATGTTTTTGCCTCCATACTTAATGACAACTGGAAGAATACCATCAGGTCATGTCTGAAATTAATTTTTATTGATAGTATACTCCTTCACACATCCCTCTGGCTTACGGGGATACTCGAGGGCGCTACATCTGTCTTTCGTTTTCGAAGAGGATGGGACATACTGATATCTGTATTGAATGAGGCCGCATAATAATAGTTCAATGCTCCACACATTTTGTTAAAGGCATCAGTAATTGACCCACCTACTAATGTCAGACTTGGATTAGATTGTACAGCTTTGGATTCCTTGGTGCCATTGATGTTGGACATTCATACCACCAAAAATGCTCTTTCAGCTCGCTTCCAATTGGACATGTTGGCTTTCACTAGTTTTCTCATCTGTTTATACTGAAGGATAAATTTATCATTTAGAAATATTTGTATAGTCTAAACCCGTTAAAAAATCAAATGTATGTATACAGATGGTCAAAGTATGACAAAGTTAACCAGCAGCAATTGTTTAAATCCATCTCGGTGTTCAGCCTTTCAGGTAATACCTCATCTTAGCACTGCATTCGCGTGTCCAACTTTCATAGCATGTATATAGGTAAGCAGAAAAACTGTCTTTGAGTAGTCAAGTGTATCGATTTTTTCCTGCGTGTCAGCTGATATGGATGCAACCTTTTTCCTGCAGTAGCTATATGGGGTGATGATTAATCGGCTCAGTCCACTTTAGTCCTAAAGGTCTGCGTGCAGTGCATCGATCTCCTTCGAAAAGCTGAGTCACCAATGTTATGTTTTGCGTTAGGTTTGCCGATAATCTTCCCACCAAGGTTTCTGTGTCGGGCACCAATCTGTAGGGAAGAACCAAAGGTATGCAGCCACAGACGTCAGTCTTGTGTCTCATGTTTTTTACGCTTTCCAGTAAGCATGTGCCTAACATAAAGACCGACCCAAGAAATGGAGACTAATGTGATACAGCCTAAAGTTCATGTAGTGCCTTTGCTGTGCTGATGCGTACAGGATTGAAAGAAACGCGACTCAAAGGATTAGCATGAATGGTATCAATTACTACGAGACTACCGGTCGAGCAGACAATACTTACGATGACAGATTTATTAGTAGAAAGTCAACACCCTATTCCTCTAGGTGAGCATCAAATTTCATAGCTTGAATTTCCAACTTGCAAGCAACAATCCATTTGTCAGTCAAGCCATAACAAAGAGATGATGGAGATTATGATTAATCAGCAAACTCATAAGCACACAAGGACTACGCCTAACATAAAATAATAAAAAATAATGCGTCATCTGCCATTTATCTTTGAATCGAGTATAAATGTTCACCGAATGGCGAAACACTAGGTTTGATAATTTTGAGAGTCGAAAATGTCCAAGGCTCATCATATTTTGTGAGAGGTATATAAATGAACTGATACAATGATAGAAAGCAAGCCTCTTTCAGCCCGTTAGGTTGAAGTAGTACCACGTTACCGGTATTTATCTCTCTGAGTATGTAAACCCAAAATGCTAATTATTTTGTTCTTTCTCCTACTTGTTTTATGAAGGCACTTTTTACACCCAAACAGCGTTGGTTCAAATTTATCTAGATTCTTATAGCTTGTAGTTGATATACTGAGATAATGCTGGTTGAAAAGGATCTCTGATAAAATCTTCCAGTGTAATAACAAATCTTTAATGTATACTTTGCCTTACTATTCGCAAAATATCTACGATTGCACACCATCCGTTAGGTTGCATCGCATTGAATTTTGACTCGAAGTGTAGCTTTAATATTACCTGCAATACATGCGTAGCTATTTAGGTAGCGAAACAGTGATTACTGGTAAATGAAATATGCACGGTATCTACTGCTGACACAAATGGTGTCTTATTTCTGCACTGTAGATTCGCAGTGGCCTCACCGACAGTTCCCGAACCGATTACAGCGGAGCAACTAACCCCTGAATGTAAGTTGGTTATCTGGGTTTTCTTCTAAAGCAGTACCTATTGGGATGCGGCGTTGTATCGTTTTCTACGATTGTTTATGTTATTTTGTTACTTGCATGCTTCACTCTAATCCTCCTGATTTCTAACATGATCAGCGTCGCCTTTATATCTAATAAGTAAGGATGATTTAATTATAAAACTGTAAAGCAGTAATATAATCGGAAGAAAGTATTTTAGTCGAAGGAAGCCAAAAATACAAGTGACAAAGTGACTGTAGGTTATGGCTAACGACTATACTATTGGGCCGAATTTTATCTCATATGATGGATTATAAAGAAATCGCTTTTGTTTTCAACAGGAAGTCTAGCTTGTCAACTTTATTTGCAGGTGGATATCTGACTGTTAAGGGGTTTTAGTGTCAGCTTATTCTATACAATCCACCTTCCAAATATAAATAAAACGTTTGTGAAACCTATCTCATCAGAAGCTACCTAACTATTTTGATTGGTTCCACAGCATGTTTGGATTGCCAATTTGTATATTAGCATCCAGACTTACTGTGTTTGTAACTTATGTGTGTCACTTCGGTTGAACCGCGTCCGGTTCTGAATACAACCGATCTTAATTGTGGCCATGATTTGGAATGTATAAGATATAAGAACCATTCATCTACCAGTTGAATTGGAAGATGAATCTCATGCACGTGTCATTTCTTTACTGATGCTGCGTGTCTGTCAAACGCAACTTCAACGCTGCTATGTTACCATTGATTAATTTCGCTGCCATTCCGCGGTTGATCTCCCTTGTTGGGTAAGTAGTCAACTGCCCTGCAAATCGCATGTGTTTGCGTGGGCGTACTTGACAAAACGGAAGTGCTGGTTTTAGTCGGACCAACCTGTCAAGTCATAAATTTAAAAATACTAGAAAAAGTCTGTTGTCCAAATTCAGATCACCACCTGGGGTGGTTGAAACCTTGTCGTGCTTGGAGTAGCAATGTGTTTTACTCACTTTCAAAGGTGCCACACACAAGTTGGAGATTCGCTCGTTACGTGTACCCTTCCCGATTCATGGAAGCCAGGAGCAGTTCGATGATCGCTTATCGCTAGATTCTGGTTTGTATTCGATTAGAAACCTGAGATACCCCAAAGGTTCACTGGTAAACAATTCTCATAAAGTAACGTATCCTCTCTGCAATCGTGAAAATCTCGGACAATTTTCGTCCGCGCAATTACGACTAAATGCAATAAGGCTGATAGTGTTATCGCTCTGATGATTCCATGGCTTATGATAACTGACGAACGAGAGTATTTTTAGGCGACGGAATTTTTCTTGTTAGAGCAGCAGTGAGAATTGTGCTCTATACACACAGAAATATTTTCTACTGCTCTTTAAAACCCAAATGCATGTATAGGACAAAGTAGCAGAATGGTGATGACAATATAGAATGCTCTCCTAGCGTTCTAAATGTGTGAATTTCTCCTTCATTTAAATATGGAAGACAAAACATGTGCTGTGTTCATGGAGAAGAACGGATTCAATTTCTCATGCAAATTTTACTGCCAGTATTGCAGCGCAGAATACTTATATGTTGATTGTGGAGTACCGCACTGATGATGCACTCTCACCTAGGAACTAAGTAATTTTAATCTAAGTAATCATGTTTTCTTCTAATAACTCCTGGGTCTCACCGCACTGACGGCGGGTTGTTGACAAAAAATACAGGGCAATATTCCACGTAATGTGACTTCACACACCATTCTCAGCCCAAGAGCGGAATCGATGACGAAGTACAGGGTTTGTGTTACTTGCTGTTCTAGCCTGTCTGATGTTAAGTTCATCCAGTGAGCACACTGTTACTACTTGTTTGGTATCCAACTGTGACCTCTCTGAGGATAGTCAAACTGTGAAGGAAATGGAGTATATATCTTTCCTATTTTACATATAGATTTTAAACACAAACATTTGCTTTTCTTTTGTAGAAGTAAATAGGAAACTTTTGCTGTCTTTGACCTCCATACGGGGACTATACTGAGGCAGAAGCGCTGCTTTTGAATTAATTTTTAGGGTTGCTGGACCCAATATCGTTGCAAGGCATACTGGTTTGATAAACACTGTGAATACCTCCATAATATCTATATAAAGTTCATTGAAAGGATATGCAACTATTTTGCAAATCAGACGGACTATTGGATATTGTTCACTCTACTAACAAGCTGGGAATCGCTAATGATTTTGTGAACTTGTGTAATACTTTTAACTTAAGCCATCCTTTTCACGGGTAGTCAATAATTTACTTGATTCTTTCACCCATAATTGATATTGGTACTTCATTGAAAGTATTGCGGTGTTTGATTAAAAGCAACATTGATTTATGGGATATATACGGCTTAAAATAAAGTGCTCTCATGCAATATTTTTTATGGCCTGCTGTTTATGATGCATTTTCCACAGCAAGCCTCAGCCAGACGGGAACTATTTTCTTGAAAGTCTGGCCCACGGCAATTTTCTAATTGCCTACTTGAATATGAGGGGTCACTCCGAACAGTGAATAACTTTAATTCTTGTAGTGCACCAAACTTTAAAGCTAGATTATGTTATGTTTAAATGCAATGGTGTATCAAATATAAAACCATGTAAGTGTGCCTTAAAACCTAGTTTCAACTGAGAAGATAGAGATGGATCAAGGTCTAGTTTCAGACATAGACCGTCATACAATGAAATACGCCTGCTATTGGCAAATATAGCTTTGGAGCCAATTAATTGCTCCTTTAACTTAAGTGTCACGATCCGAACATAGCGATCCTTGCATGTTGCCGACTACTGATATTTTATCTTTTCTCGTATAACCACGGTAACCTCACTGCATTTTTCGGGAAAAATCGCTCGACGGAGGTAAACTCATTAACCCCATTAATAGAGTGTGTAGATGACTTTGTAAAATGAACCAACGGAGGCATATCCCAAATATAGAATGCTTTTCGGTAACTCTTATCAGGCTCAAACATCACATGTCGGTTGTATGCTAAACGTGCCGGATTGGGCTGCCTATTTGTCAGAATGTTTACTTCCCACGGGAAAAATCAATAAGTCACACGGTCATTGATGGTGGCATATTAGGTACAGGGGCAAATCACTTTCACATACAAATATTAACTGGGACACAAGTCAAAAGAATGTACAATTGTACAATGTACAATTGAAGCGAATGACGTAAAAACTCCAGCTTGGGTTGTGGGATAAAGATAGCTTTTGCAATAGGAGATGCTTCCAACATCCGCGCGAGAAACGCTCAGGGATAGCGTAACTGACGCTGACAAGGACTTTTCCGTCCTTACACGAGATGGTGGAACAGAAACAAAAACTCTTCTCCTCTGTAAATTCATCTAATGTTTTCGGGAATACTACGAGATAGGCGCCTCGTAGTACGACTTACGTATGGCGTACCACAGGAGCACGAATACTGGAATACGAGTAAGGAATTGCAGAGAATCAGTAAGACTCTAAGAGCGATTGGGTATAAAGATACGTTCGTGCTCAAAGCTTTTTGAAAGAACGGAAGCTAAATCCTTTGAGGATGATTGTAGTAAAGAACGAACCTCTTGTACACCTTCCATCCAAAGACGACAGTGCGGCTGATGCCCTGTCCAGAAGCCTGCAAGACGCTGGTACAAAGACATATTTCGCGGTTCGACTATGCATGGTATACTACAACGAACCTTTCTTGGCGTCATTGATTCTCTGCAATTCCTTACTCGTATTCCAGTACTCGTGCTCCTGCAGTGCGCCATACGTAGGTCGTACTACGAGGTGCCTATCTCATAGTATTCCCGAACACATTACAGGGTGATTTTACAGAGGAGAAGGAAGGTTTTGTTACTGTTCCATCATCTTGCGCAAGGACGGAAAACGGCTTCAGCGTCATTTATACTATCCCTGAGCGTTTCTCGCGCGGATGCTAGAAGCATCTCCTAGCTATTGCAATAGCTATCTATATCCGACAACCCAAGCCGGAGTTTGTACGTCCTTCGCTTCTACCGTGACCTACAACTTCAATTGTACATTCCTTTGATTTGTGCCCCAGTTAATGTTTGTATGTGAAAGTGATTTGCCCCTGTACCTAATATGCCACCATCAATGACCCCGTGATGTATTGATTTGTTCCCGTGGGAAGTAAACATTCTGACCAATAGGAGCCCAATCCGGCACATTTAACACACAATCGACATGTAATGTTTAAGCCTGATAAGAGTTACCGAAAAGCATTCTTTACTCGAAATCTGTCTCCCTTGATTCCTATTATTAACTGAGGGTTTTTTAATTTCTGACGATCAGCTTCCCCTGTGATGCAATTAGATCACATTTTCTGAGATGATTGATATTTCAGACGCAGGTGTTTCTTGTACCAATACTTGAGCATCCGAAATGACTCTATTGTCATAATGACTGTTTAGCAACTTAACGCTAGATGGTGAACAATTCCACATTGTGCGACATTATTAGAAATCATTTAGAGTTATTTAGGGATGAACAGCTAATCCGCTGTGGTATCCTATTTACTGTCTATGCGTGTGACAGCCAATAGTAATTGTAACTCACATCGGACTCTGAGCAAATTACACATTTGGCAGGCATTTATTAATATTCGGACCCCTTATCATAGTGAAATAATTGTTTCATGCTTTTAGGTGGTTGTTTGCACTTTGGTGCCATCTAATTGATTATGAAAACTTGCTATCGCGACCTGACTGGATCTTCCATCGCGACGAGGCTGGACCTTAACATGGTGCGAAAGTTTGTTTGCCTGAGCTATCCATTGATTTATGCTGGGTGGTACTTTTCGCACCTGCAGGCCCACTCATACAAAGTTGGTCAATGGGTAGAGGCCATACATACTCAGTCTCCTGGCCCTCCACGTTGGGGATTGGAGTGAGGGTGGCTCCTTACTCCATAAAACGGGCTCTCTGTAGACCAGTGCCAAAACCCCGCTGTCTTGCCGTAAAGCATTGTGTACCAAAGGCTT